ATAAACATTGCAATAAATATTAAGGAAGGCTCTTGAGCTTTCCGAGTTTAAACTTGAAGGATGGGGAGAGAAAGAGCTGGGTTCCCTCTGGCAACTGCCCAGTGGTAGGTCTGGTGCAGTGCAAGCATTCACATAGCCTCGTGTCGCTGGACAGTGTCATAACAGAAAACTAAACATAACTTGCTGTATGCCTGCTTTTTTTTTTTTTTTAACTTCTTTTTGAAAGCAGATACATGACAGATATCATTTTCACAGATACATGACACTGAATTTTCTGTGCTACTTGTGTAACCCTGTTGAAATCCAAACAGCATGCATCCTCCTTGCATAAAAATACATTGCAGGCAGGTAACATTATTTAGCTTGTGTTCAAGGTCATTTTTACTTCAGATGGGCTATTGTAATAGGGTTGTTATTTGTTTTTATTTGCATAATTGTGCAGGTAATTGCCAAGACAATAAGCTCATGTGGGCAGAAACTGATATGTGACATATTTATTCACTACTAATAGAGCAACCAAACCAAACCACTGCCATATGAATGATGTTGCAAGACAATACAGCATTGCAACTGAGATAGAGATTAATTTTTAAAGGAAGATAATGGCTTTATGTTTGTATGCCTTATCTTCTTTAGTTAACAAAGACTGAGTGTTTAGTTTGCTTTTGAACATCTGGGGCTGATCGATAAGCGACATATAACCTACATTTACTTTTCAACGACTGATTCACTTACAACTCTAAATATTTGATCTAAAAAACTGTTGCCTGAAGAACATCAGACTAATATTGCAAGTGGCTATCCCCCCCTGTAATGCTGAAAGTAATTTATATCCTGTCCAGCAAACTTCAGAAATGTCAGCTAGATATATTTTTGAGACTATGCTTGCAAAAGACTGTACAGAACAATACCGTTCAGGTGGGCCTTACACTAGATTCAATTTTTATTCTTGGGACTGTCTCTTAATTTCTTCCAGGACTACCCTCAAGATTACCTGGCGTTTCTTTCAAAGAGCACACATTCATCATTGGAGACATTTTTTCTAATTCTCCTCTCATGAGGAGAAAGAATTCTTCATGCTGCAACTCCATGTGATTGCTTTGAAGGTTGCTAAGAGAGCTACTTTTTCAAGTTCTGAGGCACTATCTGTCTTCAGTTTTAAGTCCTCCTTGGTATAGTTTGCAGTTTTGGAATACAGTTGATCAAATATGAATATCACTTTACAACTGAAAGGTCAAATATTTGTAGCCACTTTTGAGCCAACTGTTTGAGCATCTCCTGCTTTCCAGATATTTGATTGCCTCTCAGTGCAGACTTTATGTTAATATGGCATATCATATGGATAATATGCATTTACCATTGATCTTTGTTAAATGGTAAACAGATTTGTTCAGTAATCTATATAATAAAAATTAAACATCATGCTTAATCATAAAAAACTAAAAAACTACAATAACCTTTTTAAACAAAAAATTCAATCCATAAATATCTTTTCTCTTTCATTCTGGTAGTACCTAACAGCAGCTATTTTACTGCTTTTATTTTTTTTGACAGCCGTCAACATTTCACTAGCTAAGAAATAATTAAACTATTATTTTCCTGAGATTTCCTATTTAGCAATTAACTATCAGACACTTCCCTTCTGAGACCAAGGCCTTCAGCTTTATTGAGTATGATCTGATAGCAGAGCTAGAGCTTCCTGTTATGTTCTCAGACCCATTTAGAGACTGTGATCATAAACCATCTATTTCTTTCGCAGAAGAATAGAAAAAAAATCTTTCACAGGAGAGGAAAAACACAAAACAAAACAAACAAAACCAAAAAACTCCAACCACAACCGAAAAAAAAAAAAAAGCAGACTGCCACAAAACAGAACATCATAAGTTAAAAATATTTTTATATTTTAGATATAGAAAATGTGAACTTTCATATGATATGAAAAACAGTTTCATAACTTTAAAAAATACACTTATATAGTCTTTTACACACAGGGTGTGTCATTTTTAAGAACAAATTTGAAACTCAGGTTCACAGACGTGTCTGGTATGTCTGCCCCTTTTTCTACAGCCCTCTAATGATTACCTCCATCATTAACCAGAAGAGAGGGAGAAGCCTCCCCCATATTGTGGCATTTCCCTTGATTGAATTGATAAGAATTCTGCAATGGTAGTGATAGTGTCAGGGACCCAAGTGAACAGAATTATGGTTTTGAGTCAGCTGTTGTGTACTAGAAAGATTGTCTGACATTACATGAGTTTATTGTACCTTTTATAAGATTATTTTGAAAATTTTTTCATTACATTTGTTGTGTTGATTGAACAGAATCAGGGTAGAAGCCTGACTTCAGGAAAGCAAGCAAGATGGGGTCTATTCCCAGTAAGCAGCACAGACAGAAGAATTAAAGCAGCACCCAGTTATATCTGAGAAAACCGTTGCAACTGTGAAAGTACAATTTCCCAGCAATAAGCTCTGTGGTTCTGCTGCCTCTGCCAGTGTAATTCCTCTCTTATACCATTATATTCACATCTTTGTCTGATGTCCTCCATTCATCCATCTACACTGTTCATGATTTTTGGAAAAGATGTACTTTCACCTCACTTGGAAGATACAAAATGTCACACAGGTTCTCAGTCTGTAGTCAAATTCTGTCTGAGAACAATGAAAGTGGAAAATGTCTTTGTGTGTTTATGTACATAGTTACTTCTTGTGCTTGTAAAGATATCACAAGCATACATATGTATTTAACTGACCATATTTGTTTGAAATCCAGACACAAAAATTCAGTCAGACTCAGACAAACAATTGTAATTCTTTGTTATCTGCTTTATTATATGATCAATGAATTTGGGAATATTTTAATTTTTCTAGTTGTATTCTCCGACAGGATTATGAATTTTTTTTTTCTGCTGATATCAGCACAGAGATAACAATTTTTCCATCACCACATATTTGTCACACAATTTTAAGGCTTTTGTGAGTTTCCATGCATTGCATGCATCCAAGCCCTGAGGCTGGCAGCATATTTATCTATACTTAAGCAAGTGTCTAACGGCAAATAGTAGTTAGCATGGGTAAGCATTTAAGAAAGCTTCTAGCTTCAAGTATTGCTAAAAATGTAGTTTTTTAGAAGGTCTTAGCACCAAATTTGTGTCCAGTATATTGAATCCTCCAGAAAGTACAGGTGCTTATTTTAATGCCTAATACAGAACAAAATTTTCTCAGTGGCTTATTTTAAATGCTTAGGATTTCTGAACATCAGGACACTGTAGCCCTCAGTGTCAGTGGACAATGCATGTAAGGTAGTCCTACCAGTTATCCAAAGAGATCAGTAAAGGCAGAGATGTTTTCTTCCATGCTTCCAGGAGGATGCTCTTACCCATGGGCTATAGAAAGCTACTTAGCCTGTTTATGATCTAATGTGTCTTTCAATCTACTGTATAGTGATAAAGAAGGAAAGGTAGAGAGTGACGATATCTTAGCCAGGCTTACAAGTGTGTAAGGAGTGCCAAAGTAACTGGAAGCTATGGTTTTTAAGCCTACTGCATTGAACTGGCTGGTAACGTTGTAATATAATATCTCAAAGCAGATGAAGGTGAAAGTCATTTAAGCAGCAAGTCTTAGTACTGTACTGTGAAGTTACACTGTGTCAATGGTTCATTTGGTAGGATGTATAATACATTAGTGGCTCAGGTGCTTCCATTAAGATTGACAGCATGAGTCTGCTATGTAAAGCTGCTCAGTTCCACAGAAGGTTCCTGGAACTGACAGTGATACAAGATTAGCTGATCAGCTGGTTTGAAATAGCACAAAGCTGCTTACAAACACAAATATAGTAAATACAGGTTGGATCCCTATCCTTTAATTAAGTCAAACAGCTAGAAAGATGGATCACAAGAAATAATCTTTTTCATTTGTTAAATGTGAAGTTCTGTAAAAACCTGAGCTCTGTGAACAAGGTACAGATATATCAAATATTCTCACTGAATTGCTGACAGATACTTTTGTTCAAGGCAAGAGTTTCGTAATGGGTATAAAATCAAATTAAAGTATAGCTGGCTCACCAAAGAGAAGAGGTATGATTGGACATGAAAAATGGCAGGACATTAGTAATGTTATTTAGAGATTCTTTGCTTTCTCCCTCCTCCTTTGATGCATGTCAAAGAAAGTTTGTGAGTTTCTTCTGTGGTCAGCAGTATGGCTGAGCATGTAAAGAGAAAAGCTGTATTGCATTTGAGATTGTTGGTAATAATTACGCCTTTTGTATAAACCAGAAACTCTACTAGGCAGAAGCTGTAGTCTTAGTAAAATATGAATCCATCTTTATTACCTGGTAAATATCATATGAAACTGTTACAAATAATAGTTAAAACTAACCCATTTATGTTAAGTGTTTAAACATACATGTGTTTTAAGGACAACTTGGAAGGAAAATTTATTGTTCTGATTTGGTAAAACATAAAGTGACCTCCTTTGAAAGGAAAGAACCTTTCTCAAAAAAGGGATTGTATAAAAGTTGATGATAGGCAATCCACTGTAGCACTGGTGGTGGAGGAGAAGCAAGAGTCAATTTCCTAGGGTGAGAGTGGTAATAGAGTGAGCAAGTCCACAGACAAGACAAGACAAGAATCTGTCTCTTTTTTTTCCAGAGTAGACATTGCCTCTGTTCCAGACAGCTATTTATAATTCATGTAAGAGAGCACCTTCTTAAGAGAGTCTTTATCCCTCTCACTTACTGAAGTGGATTGACTCAGATGGGATTGTGATGACAGTAACCTTATTCTCAGTAAACAAAATCTCTTGAATTATATAATAAGATCAGGAAGACCAGTATGCCTCAGAATGAAAGACTGCACTATTGGGATGGTTTTATTATGCAGCTTTGCCAACTTTCACTCTATATAGAAATCCTCAATACATGCATTGATTTTTCAGGGTCCTACTTTTTTGGAACTTGTCTATGCAATCTGGGGTTTTGTTCATTTTTTGCTAAAAAGAACTGAATGGGTGCCAAAAAGATGCGCAACTTATCGTACAAAAAGGTGGATGAGTCAGGAGTACTATTCTTGATTCTTAACCAACAGTTTTGGAAAAAAAAAATTGTGGGAATACATGTATTATATGCATTATTAATGTGAATATTGATAACATTGTCATTGTTTTTAGGCCGTGAGAAGACAAAAAAGTCTTGAACAGAGTATTCAATCTGCCCAGGAGACTGACAAAACCCTTCGCTTAGTCCAAGAGTCTCTTGCTGTTATTGACAAACAGCTAGCAGCCTACATTGCAGACAGAGTTGATGCAGCACAGGTCCCTCAGGAAGCACAGGTAAGTTATGTACAGGTTGAACTGATGTGCTTACTGGTTTCCTCAATCAAAGAATGTTTGGTTGTCCTTCACCTTCGTACTAATAACAGGAATCAGTATGAAAGTGCAAGTGAAATTTTAGGTCGGATTATGTTGAGAAGTTCAAGCAGATCTTCTGGTAAAGTCATATTTTCCTTCTGATTTATATTATATACCGGTCCAGAAGATGTAAAGACCTATAAATGTCATGGAAGACTATGCAGTAATTTTAAAATCATGAAGATAAGCAATGTGACTTTAAAATCCAGTTCCCATCCTAGAAAGAAGAATCTCATCATCTTCACTACTCTTATATGGCTATCAGTTTCTTTCCTAGTGTGTGAATCTTCGTAGGTACATGCAGATATTTTTTTGTGTGTGTAGGAGATTAAAAACTTATATTTAGAAAATAGGATCATATTTGCATTCAATCTTATTTCAAACCTTATTCTAATTTATCTGCTTCTGACTTAGGTCACTATAACAGTAGGATCAGATTCACATAAATTATTGTTTCAGTTTGAATCCTAAACTATGTTAGCTATCAGTTGACTCTCCTCAATTAGTTTTCTCCTTTCTGGAAATATGAATAGTGGAAACAATTTTATATGAAGTAGGATACAAATCAGCAGTTGTTAAAGAGTATCTGTTTAATTTCTCCTCTTGTAATTATATAACTCTAATACACAAGAAAAAAATTATATTAATGTGGGTTTTTTTATCTGGACCCTAACACTTCAGTGCTGCCTCATATGCCATGGACACCTCTGATTTATGTGTGCCCTCAGGTTCAATATTGGCAATGATTAACAAACTGTGTAAAAGGAAGTAATTCAGAACTTCAGTAACTGAAGCAGCACAAAACTCCTTCAACCTTAGTTAGCACTCTTTCATGGGAAAATTTCAGCTCGATGCTTTTGCAGAACTTGAATTTGTTCTTGAGACTTTATTGTCTGATGTCAAGTTCACCTGAATATACAATATCCACTGTGGTAAAATCATCAGAGAGGCTACTGAGTTTTTCCTTTTCATGTTTTTATTTTAAGATGCCATTGGGACCTAATTAAAAAAAAAATAAATAAAATACTGGGCAGATTACAGATTTAATGCAAATATTGAAGTTCTCTGAAGTTCAGTCATGAAGCTTTTTGAAATCCTTAGAGGGAAAGGGAATAAACAATCAGTTTTGTGTGGATAAATACCCTGAGTCATTCTTTTAGTGAATGCCAGAATAGGCACATACAGAAAGGCCATATCTCCTGTGCAGCTTCTGCTGGCACAGCTCTTTTGTAGAGCTGAAAAGAGTTCATTCATGTAAGATACCTTACAACAGTGTCTGCACAGCTGAAATAGGAATCTTTCAGTCAGTGATGCTGGTTTCTGGGCAGAGGTCAGTTTATCCATGCTGGGGGATTTAGCAAACTGTTCAGCAATATGCATTTCATTTCTAAAATAACATATGGGAGAATTTATAATCAGGCACTTGTTGAGCTCCTTTTTTGAGAGCTCTGCATATTTACTTCAAAAATTCAAATCTGTTTATAACATTGTTAGGAGGAATAAACTTTAGTTCAGATGATCAGAAATTAATCTGAGAAAATGAAATTGTATTTAGCTTCTCTTTTTAAGTGAAAGTTAGTTTATTCTGAAAGTTGACAGAAAGAAAGGAAAGTATGTGCTGTTCAATTTCTCCTTTGGATAATTTTTTGAATGCAAATTCTGTGTGCTTCTTACTCCACCATGTGGCACTAAGAATTTAATGCTCAACAGCCACTGCCTCCCAACTAATTTTGAGTACATCTAAAAATGCTGTATTCAGACAAAACAATCCAGCAACATCCACACAGATAAATCAGGTCAGATTCCTCAAGGTGTGATGATGGAAAAAGTAGGAACAAGGTAAAATCTAAAACAATATTGCATAAGGGAAGATTGTTTGTATGCTTGATCTCAAGATCCCAACTGAAGTCTCTTTTAATTTCTCTGAATTTACCAAGAAAATGCAGGGAATGAAGTAATCATCACAAGAATTTGTCAGTTTCTGACCTTTTTTTCAAGTACTCTTTAACAGTAGGAAAATAAATGTTACTGAAAGTATTACTTTTATATGACAAAATAGTTTTCAGATAATTATTTATAGCTTTGTTATTAAATAACTTCTGACAGGAGAATCTCCAATAAGTACTTCAGTTTAGTCTCAGTAGTTACCTGAATGTTTTTATACTACAGGACACAAAAGACACTTATTTCACTTCTCACCTGCACGTGACAAATCACTTTTCTGTTGACCTGTAAAATGCAACGTGCAGAATATTGTGTTTCTGAGAAAAGCAAAATTAATATACTTTGCCTTTTCAACAAACTCCTTGAATAACATCAGTTCTGTAGTGATAACCATTATACACCTGACTATTTTCTAAGTGAAGTTGATTATTAATTTGTTTTTTAACTATCATTGTGCTATGTTCAAAACCAGTTAATGTTATGATATAATAGCAGAGTTTTTCAGCTGTGCAATGTATTACTTGACAAGGATAATGCTATGGTTCGTTGCTTTTAGACTAATATTTTGGGACAAAGAATCCACAATTATATACTTAGTAAAATATCTAATGTTAGAGGTATTTACACTTCTCCTGTGCTGGAAATTGAGAGGATTTTTTTTGTTCAGCCATGTGTGTGTTAGTGGTCAAAGAGGGAATAGCTGATACGTGTTAAGTTTTAATATCTATGCAGATATCTGTACTATACAGGTTCTCACATTCTACCCATCTCCATAGCTTTAGAATGGAAACCCTTCTGACATCTCTTATGAAGCTTTCCATGGAGAAAATAGGGCATGTTTCTCCTTGAGGATTTGGCGATTTTTTTTTTTTTTTTTTAATTTTTCCACAGAATGAAAATAACCTTTTTGTACAGGAACAGGTTTTATAAATCAGATTTTTAATCAGTAAGCAGGATTTAGTGAATCATTTTTCTGCAATGAACTTTAAAGAGAGCACAGAAGAAAAAAAATAAGGGTGTCCAATTCTATAAACTTTATTTTAACCTAATCCCTTTGCTGCAACACTGTTTAATGTACTGTAATTTATTATGTTTAGTGTATTTTTTTGTGGAAGTTTATAAATCAAATTGAGACTAGTAAATTGGCCACTTTGATTACAGTGCATCCCTGTAGGAAATATTTCACCTATTTGCTCATTCTAAGTTCAAGTGAGATCAGGGTTCCCTGTCTCATCTTGGAATGTCTTAATGTATGTATGACTTATAACTTTTTTCTTCTGGATTTGTCCAGTTTTTGAAAAACTATTAATTTGTCAGTCTTGGTGGTGTAGTCAATACTGACTGCAAAGTAATTTCTCCACGTGTTGTGAATTTCTGGCAACTAAACCAATACAATACATTGATGTCTGACAACATGAAATTAAGATGTCTTGGAGGATACTGTGCACTGTAATATACATCTCCTGTGATCTTGCCCCATTCCTGAAGTAACAGAACCAACAGTCTTCTTCCTTCTTAAGGAACAGACAAAAGAGAAGAGAAATTTCTCCCATTTCTGGGGTGGAAAATTGTATCACTGAGCTGCCATGAGATAGCATTTTGACTAGTATATTTTCCAGAATGTCTTTCAAACTTTTTTTCAGCCTGCTGGTACTACATCAATAGGAACTGTGAGCTACTGTTGAAGTGTAGTCCTTTCGGTGCTACTCATACCAAAATCTGTGTTTGCTTATTAGATGTGCATTCCATTAATCTTGTCTTTTCAGCCATCATTCCATAATGTTTGTTCTATGTATTTTTATCCTTTGATTATAAATAAGTCATTTCTTTTTAATTAAATACATAAAGTTGAGGGGTTTGGTTTGATTCCCCCCACCCCCTCCAAAAGAATACTTTCCATTGTTATTATTTTGCTGAATATTGTTGACTCGTATGTCTTTTTTTTTTTTTCCTTCTAAGTATGATAATTTATTTTCTAATTATGGTAGCACATACTGATGGTAAGTGACATAAAGTCTTCTAGTTCAATTTTCTGTTGCAAATAATTGTACAGTGTTTGTTTATATGCTGTTACTTTTTTTCTAAATGCTGTTCTCAAAGCATGAGATTACAGTTAGCTCTGTGACAATTTTCAAATGAGGCAAATATTTCATATTGTTTGGATTTTTCCAAGAACTGGCTGCACTGCCAGTTCTCTGTTTTTTACTATCAACCTAACAATGCTCTGCATTTTACTGTTCATCTGTTTAAATTTGATTTTAAAATAAATCAAATTTAAGTAATAAATTTATTATTGGAATATAAAAGACTGGAAATAAAGAGAAATAATGAACCATATCCTCTTGAAAGTAACATCTTTTTATTATAGAAGTGATCTTTATGAGAACAGGCATAATCAGTGCTCTTGGTATTGTGAATGTAAATAGGTTTTAAAATATTTTTATATTTTAGTGTTTATATATGTATGCATATATATACAGAATTGTATCTATAAAAAGTTTTCCAAATGAATAAAGTTTCTGAAAAAGTGGCATTGATGGAAAATGAGAATCCCTAACCTGTAGGACACAATAATTTATGCACAGTAGTATTTGTGCTATATACACTATATTGCGATGTTCTAGAAATGAAATTAAGGCAGTTTTTACTCTTTACTAAAAGAGAAAATAGACAGGAATCACTGAAAAGCAGTGTTTTCTTGTGGAAGTTTAAAAAGTTGATGTAAGAAATTAATGAGCCAAAATTAATGAGCCAAAATGCACAAAAAAATAAATAATTAAAATAAAATAAAAATTAATGTATTTTTCAAACATTCAGACTTACTCCTTCCTTCTCTGTACAGTTCTGGCTTCCAAGATATCAAGAAATTATTTGGCTAATGTTGATTTGACTAATCGTAAATCACAACCAATAATTTGATCCATATGCTGTACAAACATGAAAGATAATCCTGTTACACTTCAAGGGGGAGACTGCAAACTTAGACAAAGAAAATGTATACTCCAAAATAAACTATTAAATAGACCTTCTCTCTTTGATTGCATTGTCTCAAATATATTTTTGCCATTAAATTTGGTAATGACAATAGTCTTCTCTATTTTTTTGTCTTTTTCTCTTGAAATTTACTTCAATACATTGTCAATATAACTTGTGCAAATCTTTTAATATAGTGTTGTAAAATACAAGACTCTATAATGCTACACAAATCATTATAAGCATGGAATACCCCTATAGACATCATGAAGTGTACACAGCTTTGTACTTAATAATCTATGAAGATGTTACTCATTTTTACTTATATTCAAACTTTGAAGGATCAAACTAACTTAAAAACCTCTTTTCTTTATTTGCATAATTCTTGGTAGTATTTTAAACTAAACAGATTTCATATTTTACAAATTGCTATACTGTAAGATAGATGCATGTGTCTATATTTAAACTAATAGCTAATCTTAGAGAATGTCAGAAGTGTTTGTATACTATAGGAAGAAAAAAGATTAAATATAAAATCAATTTTTTGTGCAAGAGTAATGGCTTCAACTACCTTTCCTGGGGGGAAACATACCTTGTCTTTATTTCATAGAAAAATTGTTCTCAGTAGTACTTGTATAACAATTCTGCTAATAACAGTTTCTCATTTTCTAACAATTTGAACATAAAACCAAATTATTTTCTCTAAATTATGTTGTATCAATATACGCTATGGGAATTCTTTTCCATTACATTGCACTAGCCAGCACTGTTTAAGTTAATTGTTTCTTGTAAGGTTGATTTATGGTGACTTAACAAGGCCGATATTTTTCTTGTGAAGTCTTGATCACACAGTGGTTGTGCAGAAACAGATAACCAGAAATGTGTGTAAGAAAATGGATTAAATTAGTGTATTAATGAACTGCATGTCATTACGCGTTTAGCATGTCTACAAATACTGAACACAAATTCTGGTCAGTAATATGCCACAAATTATATACTGTTTTAGCTGCAACACAGTTCTGTGAGATGGAGATGTTGTTATACATATAGGATACTTTGATCAGTTTTCTCTCAACTTGTGTGTTCACCATACTGTGAAAATAATAAGAAAAGAGAATAGTGAAGCAAATCACTTTTCTATTTGTATTTTTCTTTTCTATGATTAATTATGTTTTTTTTCCTGGAGAAAATATTCTTCAGAAGAAAGATAGTTATAATTATTTTTTGCCTACAATTTAATCCACATTTCCTTAGCAAGATTGTGTCTTTTGTGTCACAATGTCAGAGTTATAAATGTTTGAGTGGGAGACAAAAGTTTTGTTATGATCAAGAAAAACTAAACTGAATAATTTAGAGGCTGGTGAACAAATAATTCTTTGAATCATTTCCTCTAATGATCCAGTATGTAGTGTAGTACTTCTGTTTAATATCTTTCAAAATCAGCTCTTCCAAATAATATTACCAACATAAACATTTTCTTCAAACCCTGCTGAATACTGTCTTTGTTTTTTCAATAGAAAATACAATCTGAATTAACAAGCCATGAGATTAGTTTGGAAGAAATGAAGAAACAGAACCGGGGTAAAGATACTGCCAAAAGAGTGCTTTCTCAAATTGATGTGGCACAGGTATGCAAATTTTATTTCTTCCTTTTTTCTTTCCCTCATGCAAACAAACAACATGAGTAGTACTATAATATGAAGCATTTTTAAGGTGTCTCTACTGTTTTAGCTGCTCCTTTTAGTCAGGAAATTAGAGTGGATAAAACATGCCATCCACATCTTCTTACTGGTCATTTTTCTATGGGAGCCTTCCTGTCTGGTTGGCAACAGTTCTCGGGTGCACTAATCAGCTGGTAGGGCTGCTACATGAGGGGTACTTTGAGTGTGCTGAGGGTGTAAAAAATAAAACTACAGTGAGATTTTGTTTTGTATAGCTTTAGAGGTACTTGAAAATTTTTAGTCTAAAATATGTTGAAATATTTGGTAAAACTGCATTTGAAAGACTATGCTATGCTAAGCAGTGCATTATAGTCATCATTTTAAATAAATTTTAGGTCATGTGTTATTCGATCTAGCTTAACAGACCTAGAGACCTCTCTGAAATCGAAGACAACTTAATTAATACTTAGGAAAATATACATTTTTACCCATTAATCTTGGCAGGTTCTTGACTGTTTGGTTTGGTTTGGTTTTGGCATTAGTGCCAAAGTTCCCCAGGCTGCAAAACAAATTGTCATAATTCATTAGGAAAGACAAAGAATTTCATTATGGTATTAACGGTAAAGGAGGCCATCTTTTCCTTTTACTCTGTCCAATATTTCTAGGTATCTTAGCCTCAGTTTGATATTTTATTATGAATTACATTAATGGCTTCTTAACAGTTAATTAATTTGTAATTAATAAGTTGATATGATTTCGAAATGTGTCCTTCTATCTACAGGACTAGCTTTTCTTTGTTGAAAATACTTATATTTCTTTATTTTTCTGTCTTCCTCCACACCAACTCACCTTCTGATGGTCTCCATGACAGCTGTGATGCTGCCTGTGTTTCATAAGTGAAATGCAGGTATCAGATAATCTTGTATCTAAATGTTTATAAATTCAACAGCATGCAAGGGAGCACTACCCTTTTGAGGTGCCTTTTTTATTTTTTTCTTAATCCATCCTTGTGCAGATATTTTTTTCTTCAAAAGGCTTCTCTAGATGACCATGTTTGTCAGTTTGAACTTTGACAAATTGGTGGGGTAATTTTGAGAATCTGTTTTGCTTATAAAATATGAAAAAAAAAAAAAAAAAATTGCAAATTTACAAACTTAATGTAAATATCAACTACCAAAAAGGGTAAAGCCTGAACCCTTTGTTCCATATATTTATGACAATATTTTATTTTAGGCCAGTAAACTCTCTTCAATTCCTTTTCATCACTGTGCAGTACCTTTAGTGAGATCATATTTCACAAGATTTTTCTTCACTTACTCTTTTTCCTTAAGAGCATTCTCACTTATAAATACTGCACTCATTTTTTTTATATATATACTAAGTAATATTTCTAATTTGACATATTTATTCTGTTATTAATTCAATTACCTAGACAAAAAGTAAATTACTATAAAATGAGTAATGGCAGTGGTATTTTGAAACAACTGCTAAGTGAGCAAATTTATCCAGGCTTTTAGGATTAGTGCAGGTTGAGAGTTAAATTCTGAATTTTAAATTTAAAGGAAAAAGGATGATTAGCAAAACAAAAATCTATTTTGACTTAGTGATTTAAGGACTAATTAGTCATACTAGGCTAAGGATTCATTTTACATGAAAGTGCAACTTTGTCTAAAAAAGGGCTATTTTTGGAAATTCAATAGTAAATTCTTTGTGGGAAGAAATTATACAGCAGACAAACTACATTCTTGTTTCTCTATTATTTTCATCTGCTTTTTAAGGTAAATACACTTGTCAGAGTAAAAAGATGCTCAGTTGATTCCTTTACCATATTACTAATTCCTAGTGATATTTTAACACTATTCAATGTAATAGAGAAGAATGTTAGATCTCTAAAAACATTTATTTTCGTGTTTTGCTTTTGAATAACTACAGATCCTTTGCTTCCAAAGAAGACATTTCCTCAAATCAAAAATGAACTATGGTGACTTAGTTATGGGCTCCCTTTTTCTTGTTGCTGTGCTCTTTATCTAGGCCAGCCAGGTTTGCCTACTGACCATGAAGTTTGAGTATTGCCATTAATTCAACTGTTGAGGTGAAGTAAATTGAGCCGATTACACATTTTAAGTATTTAAGAATTCTGATGTTACTTCTCACCAAAGATACATTTAGCCCAAAACTGTATCTTCAGTAGTAGCCAGAAAGCAGTGATGAAGTGTACAGTAAGGTGAATGTTTACTGATGCTTCCCAATAATATGCAGCTAAGCAACTTCCGGGTCAGAGATATTTAAACACTCAAGTCTCAGTGCTTTCTGAAGTCTTGTAAATTGCTGGAATCCTTAACTTTATTTAACAGCTAGTTACACAATTTAACTGAATGCTGTGTGAAATTGTCCATTGTCCTCCTTTTTATTCATTGTTTTGTTATATAAGAGTTTAACTTGGTGTCACCTTTTTTAATAATTTTGAGAAACAGCTAACAATCATTTGCTAGTCAGTTGTTTGCATACCACTAATTTCCCTCCTCCTCAGTTGTCTCTTTTCCAGACTGACTAGTATGTTAAATAATACTGATGTATACAGCTTTGATTTTCCTGTCATCCTTTATACATTATTTAATTTTTGATTAAGTAAACATAATTGGGTTTTTTTTGTTTGTTTGTTTTTTTTATTTTTCCCAAGAGATTCTCAGTACTTTGCAATCCTTCAGTGCCTATTCACAGATGGCTTTAATTTTCTCTATCATTAATACTGTCATTCTCTTTTTTTCTGGATCGTTGTTAATGTATTGACCAACACAAATTGTAACAGATACTGATGTGACATTGCAAGTTTATCACAAAACTTGATCTTTAACAAGTTGAAATGTCAGAAGAGGATGAAAAACTAATTAAGTATGAATTTAGTATATGCAAACACACTGAATAAAAATAAGACCACTTATTCCTACCCTTTGTTTCCTATTTTTATTCAGTTGTTCTCTTATTTATCTAGGGAAAATCTTCCTTTCTTACCCCGTTGGATCTCCATTTCATTAAGAGTGTTTAATGAGGAAAGTTGTTGAGACGAGCTGCTGGAAGTCTATACAGTTTTCTGTGCTATTTAGAACTGCCTTTTGCTCACAATTCCTGGCCCCTTCACAGAAATCTGGGAGGTGTGAGAAGCAGTCTTACTACTTCCTATGTCTAGGCTAATTCTATTCCTTATTACAGTTTTTGTCATGTTTGTATAGTACAGACAATAGTGTATTGGTATGAAGTGTCCAGGATTTTAACACAGAAGTGTGCTTGCAAATGCTGAGTTCCTACTTAATTACCTATCCATTTCTTTGTGATTTTTTTTTTCAAACAGTAGAAAAATTTATTCTACTAGTACTTTGCTCTGTACTTCTACAAATAAATAAGTTCTTACTCAAATAGATAATTAAAATACACTTGTTTTGCTTTATTTTTGGTTATATTCCCTCCTGTTGAGATAGGGAACATATGAGCAAGCAATACAATTAGTGCACAAAGATAACAAATTGTGAAGACTGAAAATACAAGCTATGCTTGTCATAGATTTTTCTGTCTTCAAATTACTCTCTTTTTGCTCTCGGTTAAGCTATTTAAAAATTAAATAGGAAACAATTTTATACTCCAAATCTCAGGTTTTGTGCTAGACTTCCTTACTACCCAGCCTCTTTATTTGGTTTTCCTTGAGGGACTAAGAGACTCATTCCTTGTACCAAGAAGCAGCAACACAGTAGAGTTAATGAGTGTCTACTCTTGAATGTTGGTGCGTTATGCTCAAGAAATTAAACTCTATTCTCACTCCACCCCTCCAACATTTTGCATATTGGAAAACACAAATTCTCTCCCTTTCTTCAGTTTAGTCACTCTTTTATCACCAAATCTGCCGCATCCAGTGTTCTGAATGATATGACATTTTTTTCCTCCTGTGAAGACAAAGATTTTCTGCCGCTGGTAATTTCCCCAAAAGTTTTACATTCTTTAAGTAAGAACCTGCTGATTGACAATGGATTTTAAGGATTCTGAACTTATTTTCAATGTTGATTTGATTCCACATTTGCTTCTCACCCATGCTTGCTTTTCAGAAAAAGCTGCAGGATGTCTCCATGAAGTTTCGCTTGTTTCAGAAGCCAGCCAACTTTGAACAACGTCTGCAAGAATGTAAAAGAATTTTAGATGAAGTGAAATTGCAGGTGCCCAAGTTAGAGATGAAGAGTGTTGAGCAGGAAGCAGTACAATCACAGTTGGATCATTGCATGGTGAATATTTAAAGATGCTGTTTTTCTGTTTGTTTCCTGCCTGTTCTGCCTTTTAGATGTAAAGTATTTTCAATGACAATGTCAATATTTCCTAGGGAGATATCAGAAAAGATTTTGAGAAATAATTGAGTGAAGTTACACAATGAAAATTATAGGAACCTTTTTAGTTAAAGTTTGATTTATTTTTTTTCCAAAGAAGTAATAGAGAGAAAGGGTTTATTCTCTTTGTCCTATTTCTCTTGTTTGCAAATGAGATTAGAAAGACATTCTACACTTAAAATTGTATTCAATTTGAAAGTTTCCCATGATTTAATAACATTATGAAATACTTCTAACAGTCTTACAGTACCTTTTTCTTTTCTACATGTTCTTCTCTTCCGTCATAGCAAAGACCTCTCTGAAACATGGGATGCTAATTGAGTGACAAATTTTGGAAATATGAATTTACGTGGAGAAAACTAAAAATGACAGAATATTGTCCTGAATTTAGGATGAGAAATGAAGTATCAGTCACAAAACTGAAAACAAATAATTAAAACATCAAAACATTCTAATTTCAGTGAACCTTCAAACAATGGCCATGCACTTTCACTGTGTGAGAAGGCCAGTCTGGACCCCTTTTAAATTCCCCCTTCCCTTCTTCCATATGAGTTTGTCTCCCTGTATTGACACAATTTTCCACATTATGCTACAGTTATTACAGTCTATGACATAACCAAAAGAGATGTTGCAGTGCACAAGTCTAGCCAGGAAACACAAAATATAAAGGAAAACCATAGCTTACAGCTGCCATGAGATGGCCGTGCTGTGGCATTCTCACAGTTAAAGAGTGAATGACCTGAATATGTCCTAAAGAATATGAAGAAAATCTTTGTGTCTCTTTAATGTCCCTGTAATCGTGTACCCTTTTACTGTTCAAGGGAACTAAAGATAAAGATGAACAGCATGTGCTTGGTGATAATTAAATGGGGATTTTAGCAGCAAAAGTCAGGATAATCAGATTGTGGTCTTCATCTGTTTTTTTCTCAGGGGTGATGGCATGTCTGTAAATGTTGGTTTTCTTTTTTTCTCCCTCAACATCTTTCAGATCTAATTGTAAGATTTTAAATTGAAAAGTAATTTTGGAACAGGTTGATGTTATTTCTTTGCATCTTGTTTTTTTCTTTAGTGCAATTACCATTACATTCATATTCTCAATATAATAATTCACAATTATATGGTAATTAGAAGCCCTGTACCAAATTTAAGTATCTTCAGTTGACCGCTAGCTTTTGCAGCCCCGTCATATTCTGTAGAGACTTACTGTGGCTTTTTGTACTTTTAATAAACCAAACATGCTGTATGAGTTGAAAGAAGACATTTCTTCTTGTTTTAAATATTTAATTATCTGAATTGTTTTGAAAATAACCTTTGCCATATCTTAAGACAATTAGTGATGATGCATACTTTCTTATTTATAACATTTCTATCACTGCTTTTTGTGACAAGTCTTCTAAGCCACTATTAGTAAAGACAAGCTGTTCTGAATTTGTTAATTTGAATTTTGATTTAGAAATGGATTAGCTTTTCTTAGAAACGTTTTTGTAGACACACATACTCAAGGTGAGCTTTCTCTGTCCTTAAGTCACATATCATGGTACCTCTCAAATACTGTAGCTTTCAAATGGGAGTGAAAGGTACTCATAGTAATGGATGATGGTGTTTTTATACAGAAAATAATGCAAAGACTTCTACTGCATCTTTTAATACCTTTTACTTATTTTAATGGTGGCATTTCACTTTCATATTTCTATTTCACTAGAAATTATATAAAAGCCTGAGTGAGGTGAAGTCTGAAGTGGAAACAGTGATAAAAACTGGGAGGCAGATTGTTCAAAAGCAACAGACAGAGAACCCAAAAGAATTGGATGAAAGGCTTACAGCTCTGAAGTTGCAATATAATGAATTAGGGGCAAAGGTAAGCTCTGTGTCTTTAATACAAAACTATGCCCTCTTTAAGACTGGCAAAGTGAACAATAATCTAGCTATGGTAATTAAACTTTTTTTGTTGGTTCCTTTCAAGACACTCACGTTTTCTAAACAGTGGGACAGAAAGAATGGAGCAAAGCCAATCATCAGGATGCCTGTTTGGTTGCTCAGAAAAAATAACCTTCTGGTCAGAAAAATACTTCGATTTTGGATTTGATTTCTTCACTAGTTAATTAAAAAGCTACTTCATAAAAGAGAATATTCTACCTTTTCATTATCTTATACCTCTGACTGTACAGATCATTCTATTTGTTGCTGTTCAAAAATCTGTTGACCAAAAATCTTGCTACTGCAGCTTTCCTCAGAAGGTATATGTGTACCACTATGCTTTGCTACTTCTGCACTCTTGACTACACTGGTGTTCAATTTTTGTCATAACCATTCAGTGGTTTAAATGTCATGTACAATCCTGACTTGCCTTTTCACTGTGTCTTAATTTCTAAGCCACATGGAATATTGTTTAGTTATCAGTAAGTGGAATAAATCTTCCGCTGTTATACATGTCAGATACCAGCAAACCCTTGTTCAGAATTTAGTAATTTGTTATTCTTCATTCCTTAGGGATTATCAGATTTCTTCATCTTGGGCAAAAGTAAGTTGTCATGCTTTGAGCTGCATAAGGAGGAAAGTATTGCCTTGGAATGCAATTGTTTGTTTTGAATATTATATTTATGCAGTACTCACCAAGTTTGACCAGTTGGTAAATGCTGGCATATGATTAGGACTACATAAATACTTTCCCAATTTTATTTTATATAATCTCAGCTTCATCTAGAAAAGAACTCAATCCATAAAGGTTTCTCATTCTGCTTTATCTAGGAGCAAGTTTCTTGCTTCTGAAGTATAATGCTCTACAAGGACTTTTGAGTTCTGAAGAGGAACTGTGGCATTGTCCTCAAGAAGGCTTTACACAAATAATTAAATTAACAACTTATCCTTCAGTGCATACAAGCTAGGGCAGCGGAGCTGGCAAAGGATCTAGAGCACATGTCTTGTAAGGGGTGACTGAGGGAACTGGGGGTGTTTAGTCTGGAGAAAAGGAGGCTCCAGGGGAGACCTTATTGCGCTCTACAACTACCTTAAAGGGAGCTGTAAGGAGGTGGGTGCCAGTTTCTTCTCCCAAATAACAAGCAATAGGACAAGAGGAAATGGCCTCAAGTTGAACCACGGAATGTTTTGCTTGGGTATTCAGAAAACTTTCTTCACTGGAAGGATTTTAAAGCATATGCTGCCCAGAGAAGTGGTTGAGCCACTATCTTGTTTGGACTCAATGATCTTAAATGTCTTTCCCAACCTAAATGATTCCATGATTACTATACTTTATTTCTTTTGCCCTTGTTAGAACTATCCACCAAAAACTGTAGGAATACAGTTAGTTTGGTGCTGTAACTGGCAGAATGAAGATTGAGAATGACAGCTATAGCAGTTGTTTATTTCTAAAATCTGTACACTTCAAAAATACGAAACAAGACAAAGCAAATTCTTTGTCAGATTATAAATTACTAATACTATAAATTATTACTAGATAGGAAAATGAGCCCATGGGGATACTGAGAGTCAGTATATGGTTTAAACACGTAATGATTATCAAGCCACACTGACTACAATAAAACATTGTTACTTTACTTTTGACAGAGATAATACTCATTTGAGAACCTGAATTAAAATAGTTCTCTCTCCTGCTAGAAAATAAAGGCATTAAGAGACATTAGTCCTTTTAGTGTCAAGAAAAATGAAAAGTCTGCTTCGTTAAGGTGTGGATAGCTGTCATTTGAAATTAGTTAATATATTTGTGTTCTCCATTATTTTAGAAGGAACTGTGGTGTATATTCCTACATTGTTTAACATAAAGCAGATAGATGCCATTGATATAGGAAACCTTTCTTAACTAATGAAGGGATAAAAATATACCATTAGGACGCTATTAGTGATCTGAAGTGAGCCATGTTGCAAATTATTGTATCTCAAAAATCTGCTGTGCTGTTGAAACTTTGTTGTCTTAGATGTAATTTCTCACACTTTTACATTGTAGTTAACAGTATTAGAGAGAGTCAGGAAAGTCCAGAGATATAGTAGTAAAAGAATCAGTCATTATCAGACCTAATTGATTACACTGAGTCTAAGTCTTTTAATGAGAAAACTGATAATAGTTATAACTAGTAGTAAATCTCTGGACTGAAACCTGTACTCAGAGGGAAAACCACATCTTCAAGCATAGACTCACTTGTGTGATTTCATATGTATTAATTCCTCCTTCAGGTGGTCTCCTCATGTTTAGTTGTGAGGTACAGTCGGTAGGATGCTAGCGTCCAATCTCTTTATGGTAATTCATCAGAACAGGGAGCTGGACTCTAAAAGGAAGTGACAATAATGATGTTCTTCTGGCTTTCCTAAGGGCATTGCATGCAGCAGAGACTATTACTCATAAGGTCAGGCCTTTACTCACAATCCCACTGCTGCACAGGAATTTTTGACTGTAAGACTAACAGGCTGCAAAATACCTTTTTTTCTTGCTTTAAATACCTGCTTTTCTCAGTTTAGTTTTATTTATTACATCTAAGAGTCCTTGCCAGGAAACTATTTCACATAGCTAAAATAGCTTTAAAATATAGAGAAATTTATGGAAATAGTACGTTTGATATCACTTTATGGTAGAGAAGTCCTTTAGAGGGCACTGTTTCCTATTTTTCTTTAGAAATACATGTACATTTGAAGTAAAGCTTAATCAGTAACCTCTGGATGTATACAATGTATATGGAAATAGTGTATTATTTTATGTGTAGAATTTAGAGATGTATATCACAACACAAATATTCTTTCTGTGTTTGGGCATGTATCAGTAACTTCATTTTATAGTATACCAGGTGTTAGAATTTTTACACAGGTGATCATGCTTAGGGTAGTGCACTTTGCATTGTATTGCTGCTATGTACCTGCAATAGTTATTTACAATGACTAGTAACACTCATTAGAAGCAGAGCTGAAAGACATGTGTGCATCCCTTTCTCCGCGTGTGAATGGAGCTCTAAAAAGCTGTTTTATGGGCCTTCCCAGGGTTTTACATCTTGGCCTGACTGCAAGTTCTGACATCTCATTTAATAAATTTGGCATACAAGAAAGCACATAAAGCATATTCAGTGAAGAAATGTTCTGAGATTTTAGTAGTAGTCCTCTACAGAGTGATAATATACAATCAGAGACACTTTACTGCTTATTCCCTGGGCAAATCTGATCTGTTTACTCAGGGATAACAAAAGCCATGTACCTAACCTTGTAACATCCTATTACGTTTTAAAACCTCAAACTCTCCTTGGCAGTAGAGCTGGGAATCAATTTGATCGTTGTGCCAGTACTTGTACTCAAACAGTGTCAAAGCCCAAAATAGTTTTAGTACATACTGATATCAGTTTTGAATACCTGACACTACTGTACATACTTTCTTTTCTATTCAAAAACCCTTAATATAAAAATCAGTGGCTACAATTTCACTGGATTACTAATTGACATGCAAAGTCATTAGCACTGTCTTTTAAATACTAGTGACCTACAGGACAGGCTTAATTCATCTTCTTTGACCGGGCTATATTAAACTTCACCACAGCATAATTTATTAATTTGTATTTTTTAAGTACCAGTTGCCTGATGTCTATTGTAGTGTCAATTCCCATCTGGGATATCTTCCTTTACTCTTCTGCCTTCTCTGCTATGTATGTGGAACCTTCTCCCTTTCTCTTTGAATATGCTCAGGATTTTGTAGGAAAGATTGTATTTCCTTTATTACTCCAGGTTACACCAGAATGCCATATAAGACAGTCAAGACAACATAAATACTACCTTCTTTCCAGGTACCATGTAATATGCTTACAAGAACAAAGAAAATTGAAGTTATCCATAGTTTTTCATGTCTAAAACATTCAGCAAATTAAAAACTTAGTTAACTATGCTCCCTTGTGGTTTTGTTCTGTGACTTTTGTGTTTCAAGATTTTGAGATTTCTTTAGCAGGGAATTTTTTTTCTTCTACATTGTGTAGCTACATAGGAAAAACGTTGAGGATTCAATATTGTTATATAGCCATCTATATGAAAATATACTCTTTTAAGGGTTTTGATATCTATTTTGTGTCTTAAGTAAAGCCTGTTAATTCAGTTTTTCCAAATTAATTGGCTATGCATGAATTCAAAACAGAAGAGGAGTTTTGCAGACACCTACTGCTAGTTCAAACTCATTGTGTCTTTATGCACATATTTTTCTTGTAGGTGTTTGCATTTGCCAAAATTACAGCTATTTAGAGGAATAAGACAAGACATAACTATTTGATAACTGTAGCTTGGCTTGTGAAATTGCAAGTTAAGCCTTTCTGTAAAAGTGGCATATAGAAAATGGTATATAAAAATCATTAAATCTGTTTGACCGAAAAGTTAAGAAACATGTTTTCTTTCTGCAGGTGACAGAAAAAAAACAAGAATTAGAGAAATGCTTGAAATTGTCCCGGAAGCTACGAAAAGAAATTAATTCTATGACAGAATGGCTTGCAGCAACAGATGCAGAATTGACAAAGAGATCAGCTGTGCAGGGGATGCCTAAGAATTTGGATGCTGAAATTGCCTGGGGCAAGGTAACAATGTAACACACACTGCACCTTTATTCATCTCAGTTTATTCATAATGCAGAAAGATAGATTTTTTTTCTTGATAAAGAAGACATTAAAAATTCTAATATTCTAATTAGTGGAACTTTGTTATGGCTTTATCTCACCCTAACTTTAATGTTCAGAAAAGTTTGAACCATCTTGTCTCTGCATATATATCAATAATACAATTCACTTTCATATTGCAGTAATATTCACTAAGATGAATTTAATGTTAGAATTTAATTTTCAGAGTATTATACATTATCCATCCAGTATCCATGTAAATAGAGAGCAATGTGAACAGCGATCCCTTTCTCACTCATCCCATTCTACTCAAAAATCAGAAAAGTATTAAACAGTAAAACTGCTCCAGTGGGTGAAAGATTAAGGATGTCAGAACACTATATATTCCACATGTTCAGATAGCAGCCAGAAGGTGGGATATTTGTTTTACCATTTGGGGTTTGTAGCTCATTCGTTTTCATTATTGGGGCTTCTTATTTCCAGGAGACTCTACCTTGAACTCTTGCTTTACGTTTAAACTCAAACCTAAAATGAAACTTTCCTCAAAACTCCTGTGTGCACCACAGTTTAGATAAACATCTTATAGAATCACTGAAGAATGCCAGAGTCCTACATCAAACTGCATATCTTGTTGTGATGTTTTGTGACAGCACAATATCATTCAACAGTAGCTGATCTATTTTGTATACTGCATATGTAATAAAAATCCAATCTAACTCAGAACACAATCCAATTCATCACACATAAAATCTGTGCTTTAGAGGAAACTATGCTCAACATTATCACAAACTGCAAACTTTCAAATAATTATGTGCAGCCAGCAGCATTTTGGATAAATGTTCCTATATAATTTCAAAAGAAAACCACAAAAAAAGCCTTAAACAGTATTGGGGTTTTGTGCAAAACTTTACCACTTCTGCTTTGTTTGATAGGAAGAATTCTTTATACATTTCACCAGTTCATCATGCATTACAGAAATAGTCATGAATAATACACAGGCAACCTTACTAATTCTTTTTTTTTTTTTTTTAAAGCCATGCAGATTAAAGTGAATGAAGTAAAATTTGATTTTCATTTTAGTGGTTTGTGTTGTTCTGCTGTCCTTTTCAAGCTTCTGAGCTCAATAAAGTGTCCTTAGCCTTTAAAATGTGCTGATGATTTACAAATTAATAACAATAAAAAAAAAGTCTACAAGTCTTTTGTGAGTTTTTTTTCTGACTGTCTCTAAGAATGACAAGTAGTGTATAAGAAGAAAAAAATCAATATCTGTATTATAATCTTACAATTACTGCTTTGACTATTGCCACTTTGACTTCCCAGTCAAAACCCAATCCGTAAAAAAACCTATTGCTACTTGATGTTCTCTCATTTTCACTTGCTGCTTTTCCTACAGTAAAGTCTGTGCAGTTACTATCACTACTTTTGACCAATATTATTTTTTTAACACCCATAATAAAAGACAGGTGTAAGATTTTTAAGAGACAGGTTAGACCTAGTCACTGGCCCAGCTTTCAACCTTGACAGACATTTATACAGTTTTAATGCCCCAAAACCAGCCTGACAGTTACTCTGTCCATTTACTCAGTTGTGAAAATATAAATCATCTTTGGTGGTGTTAAACTGCACAGTACAGTTATATTGTTACAGAAATGTACATTTTATGTTCCTGCATGTGTGCTCAGGAAGGTTAATCTAGATGTCTATAGCTTCACAGCAGTTTAAATAGAAAGATTTGTCCTTAAGATCATTTAAGTGTTACATATGAACCTTAATGCTTCAGAAGTTGCATAATTAGAACCTAAAGCCTGGTGATTAGTGCAGTTACATAATGGGAAGTCCTTGTTATGTCTTATACTTGCTACAACAAGTACAACATATTTTTATCTTAAATATCAATCAAAAAAGTAACAAAAGCTAATTAAAATAAGAAATATTAACATGAAAAATATGTCAAATGGGAACCACTTCACTTACTAATCTTAAAGAATCACATTAAGTGTTGTGAATTCTCACAAGGAATCGATACATAAAGGGTTGCAGAAAAAATAATGGTGAAAAAGCATATCTTGTCTTTGAATGCTACCCAAAGCCTTCACTGCAGTCTAAACTCATATAGTTCCTCAGCTCTTCTTTAGTCAGTTCATCACTAAAATAGGGATAAACAATTGTGGATGAGAGCAGCTGCCTCTTGTTAAAGTATGTACATACTGAGTGAGTGGCTTTCAGAATTTCTTTATAAAGATTCTTTTTAGGAAATATAAAATGATATTCACATAAATATATGCAGACTTTAATTTTGAGCAATCCAACGTATAGTATAGGTATCAGACTTTATGCTTCTAAATGTAAGTATTTGCAGAAATTATGTGAAGTATACTTTTTCCTAAAGTATCTGCTCCCAGTAAGAGGCAGGAGTTGCTGTGTGTTATTCTGGACTCTTCAAAATTCTTGTGAAGGCTTCATAAATAAGTACAATACTGATACTTCTGTGTGGATTTCATACTGAGGCATCATATAAAATTGTACATCAATAATTCAGTCCCCAGAAACAGGGCTTCTCAGTATCTGATTAATGTCCCAGCTTTGGGCTTTGGACTTCCTGGGTAGGTAGACTGCCAAAGACAGTAACTGATCTAATGAAATGCACTGGGAGATTAATTAAGCCCAGCAGATTCCCATTGTGAGGAAAATCTGCAGAAAAACCACGATGGAAAATGAACGGGGAGAGAAAAGAACTCAACAGTGCAAAGGAGCTGAAAATTGGATGTGTACTGCTGTCAACTAAGCAGAGAGTTCATGTTTTTTCTTTACAGCACAAGGAAGCAGTAATATTTGTTACTATACTTCATTCTAATTCATTTTCAGCACCCAAGACTTCTTAAAAGTTAAAAGAACTCAGAGGGTTTCAAAGATCGTTATAGAAATTAGAATTAAAAATATTGACATGGGAACATTGTCTTCAAGGTATAAACACTTAGAAATAAAAAGGAATGACCATCTTGAGCAGGAACTGATGTTAATGAAGCAGTATTCATCTGAATATGAAAAGAAGCATGTTATTTGTTCATGTCTAGAATTTTTCTAAAGATGGAACAAAAACTTGGCTGAGTTATATGAAATGAAATGGGCAATATACTGACGGCTGTAAATCCTGCCTTTTTACTCAGTAGAGACAAGCTAAATCTTTCAATTTGAATTCAGTTCTGTTATAATAGATAAGAAATATGACATGGGGTTGAAAAGATAGTCTTTAAACTTGTATATTAGAAATTCATTTATGCTTAGAAGCCTGATTTGGTGCACATATCTGTTACTGAAGTCATTAACCATTGTGGGATTTATTTGTCTTTTAATCAGGAGCTGGCCTGATAAGAATTAGATAGCCAGGAAATCATGTTCTCTAAAAAGGAAGTGGCAGATTGTGTAACCAGGAAAATTCAGTATCACTCCCTGCTATCAGCACTGAGTCTGCCAGTGCTTTAATGTTATGCTTTAGCACAGTGTATAATACCAGTAAGTATAAAGTTGATTTAAGTACTTAGAATTACATTAGTTAACACATTTAGCAATATATTTCCTGTCAGTAAAATCAGTAAAGGAAAATTATCTGATTCATAGCCAGTGGCCAGAATGCAATAAAAAGATATTAAGATAAATAATAAGGTATGCTATGAATAAATAAATATATATACTCAGCCATTGAGGAGTCCATAATATCAGCTTCTGATTAATTCTGTAATCCCCCTGGTGAAAGCAGAGCCACCTAATTTCTTTTAGAGAGCTTAAAATTGTGAAGATGGCAGCTCAGTAATCCACAGTGTTTCATCTGCCTCCACGCTGCCTGTACTTTTCTTCAATCATTCATTGGTGTAGACTTTTGTAATCTACATATATTAGTGAACAGCACAATTAAAGTTTCTTCTGCATTTAGTCATAATTCTGGATTGTGTAAAAAACAATAAGGAGTTCAACCTTGCACGTGGTTGTTCTTTTATTATTACATATAGCTCAGAAACTGCCTCCACTACATCCTCAGAAAAAGCCATTCCCATGTAGTTTCTGTTTTCATATGGAATTTGTTCTTAGTATTTGCTTATGAGAAGGAGGTTATGATTTTCCCTCTCTTTTGAAACATCAAGTGAAAAAAAAAACAACAAAACAAACCCGGTTGTATTTGTTAGTAAACTGAAAGATAATGTCTCTGCCACAGTACAGTGGTGTCAGAGAGGGAGGTCTGAAACCCACTCAAAGGGTACATGGCTGCACAGGAAACTGCCTTTGCTTATATTAACATGATTCATCCTGTCATCCTATGGATCCATACTTGTCCCCATGCTTTTCAACACTGCAGAGCAATCTGGCTTTCACCAGGGTTTCAAGCCATCAGAAGTTCATTTTCTTAAAGAAACCCTTTATTTTACACTGCAGCTTTTTTCCCGAGGTTTTGATGGTAGGTACTGGTATAAGGGAAGCTAAGCTGGTCTTATCTCTCTTAACCCCCTTTCCTCCTCCTGCTATTACCAGGATGGGGATTAGAAACTCATCACTTGAAGCATGCTCTGCATGCAGAGCTTTAACAGAGAAGGGTCTGTCTGATTGCTTTCATTTCCTAGGAGCCAGGAACCTAGATGGCATTTTATCTTGGTAAATGTTCAGGTCCTGGAGATTCAGTGGTGATGTGATCTCCCAGTTTTCATTAAGGCATGTGGTCAGTGTTTTTCTGAGAAACACAAAAAAGGAATGAATAATGGTTGCTTTAGAAGCTAAGGAAAGATTTCATTCAGTGAAATATGAATAAATTTTTGGCATCAAATAATTTCTGTTGTAGTGTCCTGTACCAAACAGCCATAACTGATACTTCAAATAAAATGGAAGTATAAGAGTTTCTTTGAAAGAGGCATTTCAGAATTCTAACAGAAATTTTGAGTGGAGAGCTTGCTGTCATCTTTAAATCTTGTATCTGATAGTAGATGTGATCCTACATGGAGGCTTATGTAAAGAAGAAGTTACTCTATATATGTACTTATAACTTATTTTAGTTCACAAAATGAATTCCCAAGTGAACATAATGAAAAGATGTATTTCTACATTTAGAAAACAAGAAATCTAACAGGAGAGGAGATTGTACTTCCT